GCTTCAGTTGTGCCAGTTTTCTCTGTCCTGGTTCATCTTTCCAGGCATTGATAGTGATGTTGAACAAAAGCTTGTGGTACCTTTCTAGATTTCGCTTTCTGTCGTATCCCTAGGATGTATGGATCAGAGCTTGTTTCAAAGCATTCACTCCCACAGCTTTTGAAATGCTGAAGGTCTTTTTTTACTCAAACATGTATAACAAGTATATTACAAACAGGCTTTTGCCATCATTTCTATTGCCTTCGGCGATGTTGAATAGGAATCATCCAGTAAGCAAGATAAAAAATGACATCTTCACAATATGAGGCTGCTGTTAGTCCCTGATGTTAAATCTGGGCAGTCAGCACCTCTGCACCCGCTTTTGTGTCTCTTATATACAACACGTGAAGTTGTTTAGAGATTGAATATGGCAAATAAATGTCACAACTTCACCTGAAGTAGAAAGAATTCTTTTAGTTTCACTTTAACTGTTTCTTAAAATGAATCTTTGAATGTAAACCAAACCAGGGGGATTTTATGTGAGAATTGTGATCCTATGGAAAAGGCCTTTGTCTTAACCACAGTGATCCCTGTTGGGAAGATTACAGTTGCATGTTAGAAACAGGTAAGCTTTGAAGGATGATTTAAGATCTGACAAAGAAATAAATCTCTTCTGTGTGCCAGTCCTCGTTGGCTCTCCTCTGAATTCTCCAGGGGAATTTCTGACTTGTTCGCTACCTGCTCCAAAAATGGAAATCTCTTCTGTGTGCCTGTCCTCGTTGGCTCTCCTCTCTGAATTCTCCAGGGGAACTTCTGACTTGTTCGCTACCTGCTCCAAAAATGATATTCGGGTGTGGCACACCCCAGAAAACAGGGAACTGCTACGAATCGTCGTCCCCAACATGACCTGCCATGCCATAGAGTTTATGAGGGATGGCAAGAGCATCATTTCAGGTAATGGTCAATTACCATTGTCCTGCCCATCTTCCTTTTGAGTGTGAAGGTCCAGACCCATGGTTGAGTCCAGTCCTTAAGTGTTGCCAAATTAATAAACATCAGTATGTTAGAGTGAAGAGAGGTTTAAATTGGGAATAGGTTTAGATGCAGTTCATTGCTTGACCCAAAGGCCTCTTTGCTTGCAGCTGGTCCGATGAACTTTGCTCATGGGCCCCGGTATCCTGGCGTATGGGGAAGGCAAGGTTTTGAGACCTTACTTTGGAAGTGAATTCCAGCAATTCAGAACTCAGTTCAGTGTTACTCAAAAGACCTAATTCTAAAATATTAACCTTGTTTTATGCAACAGATTAACCTGTGATGTATGTAGACTGCCTTTTGCATAAACCCTGCTACCCATTGCTGTATGCAAATTGCTTGCACAGGAACTGCTGCGGTCCCCCCATTATTACCAAACCAATTTGCCCATAGCCAGAGCCAAAAAGGAATTAAGTAGTTTATTTGGGGCTATAGCTCTGCAGGCTCATCTACAGTACAGTAGTTTTCACATGTATACTGGTAATCTAACAGGGTGGGCCTTATAAGGAAACTTAATTAGGAAATGGGTTCATTTGGAAAGGCAAGAGAGACGATAATATAAGGAAAGTCTGTGCACCTGGGTAGTCTGTTTCTTTTTATTCATCAGCTTGGAATGATGGGAAAATCCGCGCCTTCATGCCAGAGACTGGACGGCTAAAGTATGTGATTGACCATGCCCATAGCTTGGGAGTGACAGCAATTGCTGCTACAAGTGACTGTAAACGGATCATTAGTGGAGGAGGTGAAGGGCAGGTAATTTTTGCTTAAAAACCTCGCGCAGCTTTGTGCTCTCCTCACAGGGCCTGCGGACTGTCTGTAACTGCTTAGTCAGAAAGTGAGCTATTCTTAGCTTTCACTTGAGCAATGGACTGAGTTCGAAAATACGAGCCCTTGATATATGCAAATCTCTTGCTCCCAGAGGGCATAATGTAAAACAATGCCCCGGTTTCTTCTGGCATGCTAGTCTTGGAAATCCTTCTAATGCAGAATGTGCTCTTAATCCTTTTTGTTCATTTGTCTCTCCCCTATATTTGGCTTATCTGTGTTAGCCATTGTTTGCAGGCCTCCATCGAACTGTGCTTCAGCACAGATTTTCTTTCTGCCATTGCTTTGGAAGTCTTAGTCCTGTGCAAATTGACCTGCACAAATTCATTTCCTAGCACAAAGTTCACTTTATATCACTAAAGTGTGTCTATGGGATAACTGCCTCATTTCCTGGGATGTTACTGACTGGTTTAGCTGATGGTGTTAATAAAAGACTAATAATAACTCAGTTTCTAGTACAATTATGGAAACATTCCAATAGGAATAACAATAAAAATCAGAAAATATGTTGTAGGCATCACACCTGTGCAGTTCAACAATTTTTTTCCAGCTGTACAAAACGATGTACTTTGGCTACTCCATGCACTTCATATGGTTGTGGCCTTTTTGAATCTGAAAAAGTGACATTACTCTCCTAATGTTTAAATAATTTAAACACAGGGGGTTTATTTATATTAAAAAGAAATAATTAGACTTGGAAGGCTCATGTTCAGTTTCTGGCCTTGCTATGGACTTCCTCTCTGCACTCTGGCAAGCACTCAGAACCAGACGTTTAATTGTGGATGGATTCCTGACTGCTATTTAATTGCTCTGTGCTTTGTTTGTGTACCCTGATCTCAAGTATACAGTGTGCCGTGCTGGAGATTGCATGGGAAGTCTTGAAGAGTGAGGAATTGAACTTAGGCCTTCCAAATCTCAGGCTAACATTCTGATCATTGAATCATCTTTCTGAATCATTCTGCACCTCAGCTCTCCTATAGAGCAGTAACGGCAGCACTGCCTTGTGTCACTGCATAAAGACATCAGAGATGATGAGCCACTTCAACCCTTCCCTGATAAAAGAACAGTTAAGTACCTTGGATGATTAGCGCTAGAGGATGCAGAAGAGGACCTAGATTCTGTATCAACACACACAGAGTGGCACAGGCTCTGGTTAGTTGATCTCTGAATGGAAAAAGACAGCCGCTACAGAATTAAAGCTAAAGGTTGGTTAAGTAGAAATGAAAACTGCAGGGGAGCCCTTGCAGTATTCATTCGGAACACAAAAAAAAAGGTGTTCTGAAATGCTAATGGTTCTGTCCAAATCAATCATCTGAAAGCTGTGACTTTCAGGATTGCTTAAGGGGTCTGGATTCTCTGATCATTCAGCAAGTGGGAATTGGACATCCAGATTCTATAGGTAACTCGGCATGAGTCCTGAAAATGTGGAAGGTCAGCTCTCTGCTTTTGATGTCAGTGTCTAAATTTCTACATTTTCGCTAGGATTTGACCTTAGCAGAATGTAAAAGCCAATAGATACGAGGTTTGGCTCCAGTGGGACAGTAAATGCAAGGTGTGAAGGATCAAGTCCTCAAAGCAGAAAGATTTTTGCTGTTACCACCACTGGGAAAAGAGGTGCTCTCAGGCACATATTTCACATCAAAGATTTAAAGAGCTGGTTTGTGTTTGCTTACTGGCATTATATGTAGCACAAATAGCAGGTAGCTTTTTTATATTCCATTTCTTTCATCTTTAAAGCACTGCTGGAAATATAGACTGTATGGACTAGATGCTTTTTCCTGATCAAGAGATGAGTAAACTGAAGCATGGGAGAGTGGGAGCTCGGCAAAAACAAGGTCTGGGGTTAATGGTCAGGAATTCCTGAACCAAGTGGATTACACTCTCAAGAGCTCAGTTCAGTTTTATGAGTCAGCTGCATGAATAACCCACAGGAAAACAGAGACAGTCTGTTGAGATTGAGTTCCTGTATGTGTTATAAGAAAAAAGAAGAGTTCAGGAAAGCTGTAGGCATCTTCCTGAGCTCAGTCAGGACCAGGTGGTACAAGAGTAGATGTTTGTTGCTGCTTTTCAGGTGAGGGTCTGGGAGATCGGTGAGAGGACTCACAAACTGGGCGAAGTTCTGAAGGAGCACGTATCTGCTGTGTCCTGCATCAAGATTAAGAAGGACGACCGAGAGTGTGTCACAGCCAGCCTTGATGGAACGTGCATCATCTGGGATATCGTGTAAGGCAACAGCACTTTAAGTGCTGGTAATGTCTGTGTTGGGTCACTGTGCCCTGTTTGGGAGACCACATGGTGTGTAGGAGGGGAAAAAGAGCATTAGGAAATAAAAAATACTAGAAAGAACAATCAAGTCAGGGAATGTAGAACCTCCAATGCTAGAAACATTTCAGAAAAGTTTAAACAAACATTTGTCTCAAGTTGTTTTTTTTGTATTGGATCCTGCTCGGCCAAGGGGGTGGAGCAGGTGATTTCCTGTTTCCCACTAGCTCCATTTTTCAGGACTTGATGAATCTCGTCAAGCTATTGCAGATCTGCAGGTAAGGGTAAGGAAATTTTTGCATAGTGAATAGCACCTAGAGAACATTCTGGATTAAAAAATTTCATTTAATCTAACAGCATGTCAAAAGTCTTACAAGGCAGCTGTGATGGGGAGCAGAACTGATGACCCTAACAGGCTTCATGAAACCCTGAACTCAGGCCAATACCTGAAAATATCCGAGTAGAAAGAGAGATCAGATGTACAGCACAGGCCGAGATAGTTCAGGCAGTCAAAGTTCATTTTTTGACCCTATTGCTCTATCCTGTTTTGGGAGGCGTTTTGCAGGCGTTTTATAAGAAGACAAATGGTTCTAGCCAACACGTTGTTCAAATGTGTGTGTTACCATCCTGAAGAGTACCAGATGATCACCAGTGGAACAGACAGAAGGGTAAGCAAAGCTGCGGGAATTCTGTTTGAAGGAATTCCAAAACACAAAGTCGGGGGCTTGTTATGTGATGAAGCTCCTGAACCCCCATATAAGATTGTGTTACAGGGCTGAAATCTGTGTGCTGTTCACACAGAACTGAGCTCTCTTCTCTGGTCTGCTCTCTAGATTCGGTACTGGGAAGTATTTGATGGCTCTGCAATCAGAGAAGTGGAAGGATCTGTATCGGGTTCCGTCAATGGGATGGACATCACATCAGATGGGGCGTACTTTGTCACAGGTGAGTGGGTGGATGAAACTAGACAAGAGGAGGTCATATTAAGAGCAGGAAAAGGAAGACAACGAACCAGGGATCTCAGTGAAGTATGAAAAAAATGAAAGAATGGATCGTAAAGGGGAAAATAAAATGAATCACTGAAGAAAAATACTGAGGAAAAGGCTGTAGTTCAGACTTGGAAGATACTATGGTTCAGTCTTGCAAGATGTAGTTTAAAGGTGAAGACAAGGTTCAGATGTCTCCAAGGGAAGAAAGACTACAGGGTTCCACCTTGCCCTGCTCCTCATTCAGTTCAGTGGTGTTCACAGTGCACTTGAATGGTTTGTTCAAGCGCCCTACTCGAAGCCTGGCAGTATCTGTTGGTTTGCGAGCGGGAATGACTCCAGGCTCCATCTAGCCTCAGGCTCACATGCTCCCTACCACTGTGACATCCCTTCTGGGAGCCTGGCACAAGCACAGAGGAGCCATGGTATTGCAGATCTTGGCTATAGTTAAAAACCACAGATTTGGTGGCAGCACCAGTTGTTTCAGATTAACCTGGTTAAACGAATGTTGGTTAAGAGCCTTTTGAAGACGGTCAATATTATTAGAATCACAATCATATTAGAATCACAGTTTGGGTTGGAAGGGACCTTTGAAGGTCCTATAGTTCCAACCTCCTGCTGTGGGCTGGGACAT